ATCGCAGTTACTAAAAGCATACTCGAAGTATTTTGCATGTCGTCCTACACTTTAATATCGATGACTGTACTTTAATGTAGATTTCATATAGAAAAGTCATAAAGTGTACTGGAAGACATGATTTTGTGCATTGACATTAAATGCCAAATATCATTCAATCTTATAAATAGAAAGTTCATTAATAAAGAAGGATGATATCAAATCAAATATACAAATCCAAAATTATGAACGCGTGATATCAAATGATTTTCTATAAAAATGATATTGGAAGTTTGATCCCTAAAGTGAGATTGAATTCTTATCATCAAGGAAATATCCGAGTTTTACGGGATCAAGTTTAAAGAGAAAATGAAATTTAACCAAATTATGTCCTATTCATTTTTACCTTTTTCTGATTCATTTTTCATTTTTGTAGGCTCATTAGAATGAAGTAAAAAATAATGATTGTATTATTTATCTGATTAAAGAAAACTTGGCAATGATTGGTGTTCCAGATTCAGCTTTGACGCGAATTTCTAATTACACCTTTGCACTACAGAATTGTTCGAAAATGTTATCAATTGTTATAGTGTATACATTTTTGTGTAAATTAGAAAAAAATCTACTGATAAAATCAAATCGATATTCAATGTTCGAACACATAGATATCACTGTTTGCTGTATTTTTTTACACCTATACATACACGATGATTGTGCATAAAACACTTAGATATGAAGGTATTTTGAATTTGTAGTTTCAATTATGGAATATTCGCAATCCTCCATTGAAAGACAAATTGTTTTCCACTTGTGCACGAATGAGGACAATAGAATTGATTAGCCCCTACTATTGAAATGTTTAAGACATCTAGGATATGGCACAAGGCAATGCTAACGCACAAGAGAGATTGGATAAAATTAATGTTACATGTTCGAAACATTTCGAAAAACAACTATTGTTTTGCATAAAATGCAAGCAACTCGTTTGTGTGACTTGTATTACCGAGCACCACAATGGACACGAAATGCAAGATCTAAATAAAACATGTACAAAAAGAATGAAACAGTTGAAAGACAGTAAAATAACTATACAGACGATGCTTGAAGAATTGCAGATAACACAGAATAAAGAAGAAAATATGAAGTTTCAAAGGATCTCACAGCACAGAGAAGTAATTGAGGCAATACTTACTCAGAAAGACACATTGACTACATTCATTAATAGACATACCACAGAACTTGTCGATCAATTAGACAAAGAAGTAGAATTCATCAATTCTTCGTTTGACGAAGAAGGCCGCCATCTTAAGGAGAAGAAGAGAATCTTGAAACAAAAGTTGAAGGACAGGAAAAAATTACTTAAGTTATCCTTCAACGATTTAGTTCAACTTTCAGAAAATGAGCTAGAGTTTGCTGATTTACCCAAGGAAAGCTATGAGAATAGATATCCCATAGCAGAGTTTATTCCTGGTAAAATAGACAAATCCAATATAGGAATGCTTCAGTTTGGATTACAGTTTGAATTTAAGGTATCAAAAATGCTTACAACAGATTTACCAGTCATTCACTTTATTGCTATCGGCAATGATAGCACATTGTGGATTAACGACTCTAAAAATGGCAAACTGCAAAAGGTAAAGTCAGGTAAAGATAGTGTTGAAGTACTTCTCAGTATAGAACTTAACGTTTTTAGTATGGTGGTTACTCGAGAAGGTGATCTACTGGTTGCAGCTGGAGATTCGACACTGAAAAGTATCAATGCTAGTACGGGACAGGGGAGGGAGTCGATATTTAAAGTAGAAAACAAAATTATTACAGCAGTACATTTGAATGAGAAGAATGAGTTAATCATCGGAGTAAGAACTGAGGGGATGCGATACTCATTTGAAAGCGAGACGTCACTCATAAAAATGAACCAGGAAGGACAAATTGTGACGACTTTTGAATTCGATAAAAATAACAAGCGCTTATTTACCTATCCCAGATACATTTCAAGCAATAGCAAAGGAAACATCGGGATTGTCGACTGGTTTTCTGAGTATGGGAAAGGACACGTGGTAATACTTGCATCAAATGGTGATATCATCAACGTCTATGATGGCAATGCCGATACTAAGACAAGTTATATTAAGTTCAATTTGGGAGGAATAGTATGTACAACATCCGATAATTTCATAGTAACTGATATATCAAATCATTTACTGCACCTTCTAAACTCTAATGGACAATTGGTGTTCCAGTTCGATACTTTGTCGATCGGGATACAATTACCGTACTATTTGACCTTTTCAAGGTCAGGGAAACTTTATGTAGGAAGTTTGAGTCCTAATCCACATAACTTGTTTGAAGTAGAATGTCATGGTAGCTAAAATTCACATGATAATTTTAAAAATATGAATTTTTCATTACTGACAATAAAGGGTTGTCGTATCAATCGAAATTCAATGGTACTCGCATATGTTACACGGATGATTTTAAATGGGAATGTTTCTATTGATCTGCAAAACAAAAATATTCCCTATGTGTAATTTTGTCTGCACAGTTTATGTTAATATATTCTGAAATTTATGACTCCTGTTTCAGGAAAAAACTTTCATTACGTCCTCTCTAGACCAGAAGTTTGGAAACAAAATAAAGCAAACACTGAATGATATCAAAAACTATGAGGGTCCTAAAAAAACAATCAAAATCGGTTTTGTTAACTCGAGCATTGATTTGATTGAAAACCAATTACGATTTCCTATTCTTCTCTGAAACTGCTTGGCTATTTTTTAAGCAAAACTTGGTAGAGGTAGAACAATGCACGAAAGAACCTTCATAAAAAGTCACTGTTTCGTTCCGATCAGATCAAAAAAATTTACCACCAAAAGCAATCTTTGATTCTGATTGACCAATTTTCAAAAATGTACTCCCCTGAAGCTGCAAGTCAAATGTTTTGCATTTGTAGGAGGTTGGTGATTGAAAGACTCGAGATTGAGAGTCCTCTACAAATGATTGTCATTGTGCGATCGGATAAAAAGCAGGCCTGTCATAACTATTCTTTGGTTTTGATAATTCACATTTATAGAATAGAAACATTCTCCCCTGAAACTACATTTCAAAATATTTTTGAAAGGACTGATTGAAAACAAAGCCATTTGAATCTGGATGCCATTGTGCAACGTGTTCTTTGGAGTCTCGACGGTATCTCTTGGTTAGATGTAGATGGTATACTTTTCCATGAAGACCAATTAGACTCTGATAGGTATACAATTTTGGTATCACAAGACCTGTTCAATTTGTTAATAAAAATGAAAATCATCCATAAAATCATCGCTCAGGTTATAGAGATGATTGAGTGCTCATACGCATGTTTAACACCGTCCGTTGCATTCTGCACATGCCTGTCCCAAGTCAGAAACCGGCTGCCTGCCATAATTGTTTTTCGTGATTTTAGTTGTATTTAGCATAGATGAGACCGTCGGTTTTCTCTTTGGAATTATTTCCCATTTTATCATGCCTGGCTCTTTTATAGCTTAGTAAAAGGTTTAGGATAGTTTGGTCATTGTTATAGGCCGTACGATGACCTGTAGCTTTTTACTTCCTTGTTCAGTGGTCTCTTGGAGATAGTTGTCTCAATTTTAATCATACTACTTTTTTAAAATCATACATGAATTTCTTGATATTTTTGTAATTTTCCTTTTTAAATCTTGGTTTGATTCAAAGCCGATTACGCGTACCATTTCTGTTTCCCTCGCTATATATATTTTATTTTATGATCAATTAGAGTTCTCAGAACCAGGAGTAGTTTGGGATAGTCAGAGATAAAAAAAAAATACACGGGAAATAATACAAAAGAGGCATTCAAGGTTCAGCCCAAATCGTCTTATGTTAGGTAACCTCAAAGAAATACATATTCTTTTTTTGTCTTGTGTAGAACCTGTCTCCCATCTATTACACTTAAACGCTTGTGTATCATGGATACTATGTAAGTACTTTACAAGATCTCTCCGTTAAGACTATTATGACTCTGATAGGTATATGATCTGTTCGTATTGTAAAGTAAGAAATAAACAATTGATACATTTCTTATTTAACTGTTTTTCATTTCAAAGCCGGTTACACGTTCTGTTTCTGTTAGCCATGAATCGTAACTTTAATATTATCAAGTAGTACTCGTAGCCAGGAGTAGAGGGAGATTATCAGAATTTGAAAAATTAGACGTGTGGAACTGTATAACCTAATGAGACATTCAACTCGTATTCTAAATCATCTAAAGTAATATTGATAAAAGGGGATATCTGTAGGGTATACCTCAATGAGACAGCAGTCCGACGACAAAAATAACGCAAGACATGATACAGGTTATGTTCTTCTCGTATAATTTATGATGGCATGATACTAAACCTCTAACGGGAGGGATTGTGGTTGATTTTCATATGATAATGACATATACATGTAATATTTCGATCAGTTTAATTGAGGTCTGGAGCTGGCTCAATAACTGCTCTAGGAGTCCTCTGTTAATTTATGTTGATTGTCATTTTGCTTAGTTTCTTCTGTTAACTATTCTGACATAGGACTCGGACTTCGTTTAAACTGAGTTTTACTTTGCTTTTTGCTGTGTGCTTGTTTATTCCACATTGGCCAGAGGTATAAACATGTTTAACCCCCGTTGCATTTTTGCGCCTGTCCCAAGTCAGGAACATCTTTTGTGTTTTTTTTTTCAAATTTTGGTTCATATGTATGTTTCGGAGTATACATTATTGTTAAGGGGGCAGCTGAAGCCCGCCTCTGTGTGCGGGATTTTTTTCCGCTGCGTTGAAGACTCATTGGTCGCCTTAGCATACATTCTTCAACAATAGACAGGTGTTCATACAATGTCGTTCTCAGTCTTTAACAGTTTAAAATAATTTATCAGAAACTATACACGATAGGTTCTTACTTTTCCATAACAAAGACCTTACTCTAAAAAGATATACATACAGTGTTCTTTTTAGGAACTTGGACGTCGGACATATAATAAAGAAGTAAACACGAGATAACATATTTTCGTATTTTATTTTCGGTGACATTATCAAGCACATTAACATTAACAAACAAAATACTATGGAACTGTCTCATGAAAAATATAAAAAAAAACATCAAAAATAATCAATGAATATTTTTCTTAAATCCAAAGCAGACTTTTAAAATACCGACTAAAGTCTAAAGATAACACATCTTGACTTAAAGTTGTCGTCAAACTTTAACCAGTAAAAGAAAGAATAAGGCATGATAACACCACTTTTGTGCCCCTTGATTTCGAAAACCAAAAAGTATTATAAATCTACCAAAAAACATCATTCGGATGTTCATCCGACATTGTCTGTCGGACATCAGTATTTATATTTTTGAATTTTGTATTCCAGATTAGCATTAGGACTTTTAATACTTCTAATATTTAATGAAAAACAGCAAACACTTTCAAAATAGCCTCATCTTGATATCTTTTCATTAATATTTAGATATAAGTAACAGTTTTACCCGATAAGATGTTTTGCTACAAAATGTATTGCAATAAGGTGTTTATGATCTTGAAATAATTTTTTGGGTTAAGCTGTTGCTCATATATATTTTGACCAAAAAACTATGGTTGCAAGAGCCATTTTAGGTCAAATATGTAAATTTCGAAATGTTTATGACATAAAGTAGTGACATCACAAGTGACCTTTCTGAACTAAAGTGTCCAAAATATGTTGACATGTTCATTTATCAATAAAAATTTAACATTATTTTGAAAGGCTTGAATAAGTTTACTATTTTTGAAATTTCAGGGGCCAAATAATGGGTCTTATCATCCCTCCTCTTCTGAAAAAATACGTTATTTCGTTAGTTGATAAACATGCATGCAAGTTTGAATCCGTATTCCCGCAAATTTGGATTTGATAAGTGAGTACCCTATGATTTTTAAATTGCAATTATTTCATCAAAAATTAGAATCTATCATCATCTTGGAAATATTTTTTAAAGTCTTTTTTTTTAGAGGGCCCTGATATACAGAAGGAGGTTATATCATTAAACATTCACTGCAAATCGACCATTATTAATTTACACTATTTTGTCAAATAAAAGGAAGCAAAATAATATTGAAGTATGTAACTAACAAAGGTCATTTTACTTTTAATCTAATCATTTCAAAGTGTTTAACCAAAATAATTTAACCGAAATTAAGTCGAAGTCGGTAGTTCGGAAGTCTATACTATTTCTATTGCTTATAATGCTTCTGAAAATATAACAGTAGTCGTATATTTTAATACCAACATCGTTTAAGTACTGATGAGAATAACTAAAAAATGTGTACAAATAGATAGGGCCAACTTCCCCAGTAATTGTTTCTAGAGCAGGGTCGTTTAAACAAAATCTAAAAATCTTTACTGGCAATCAAAGTTCCATGACCCCATTTGCTTATTTTAAGGTTCTGACGACAGTTATTCTATTTTTCTAAACATTTGATTTCTTCTAAACGGCCAAAATCAAGACTGTTGATAAATATTTTGCAAACTTTGATTTTTTTTAAGAACATTGAAAAGGGGGAACATTTCAACCTTCCCTCAAAAAAATAGAATAAAAAAAAATATTATACTGAAGGCAAAGTATATATCGTTTTTTAAAATGTTTACTGAAAATACTTTTGGATTCGGCTGTCCTTCAACGCAAAATTTGATAAGAACGAATAACAAATATGCAATGTTATAATAAAAAATGTCTTTAACACTGAACATTTTGGACAAGAATAAAATCTTTTAAAAGCATTGGTAATCTTTGGAAAAGCTCTTTTTGTCACATTATGCATGCTCTTAAATATTCTAATACCACCTGATTTCATTAACCTTTTAAAACCCATACTGACCTTGTGAGTACAAGAAAAAAGGTGGGTGGTCTTACCTCAAATTTTAAGACAGTTCCAATGACGAAAATGAAAATTATTGCACACATCCCAAAAAATGAGAATTTCTTTGAGAAACTTAACGAGGTAGACCTAGGCTAACAAAAATAATTCTTAAATTCACTGGAACATTTGATTCATTCATTTTCATACAGTTCTAAGATTCTAAGCAACACAGATTATATGAATTCTGTGTTACGTGACTACTTAAAAAAAAAACATTATGGAAAATGACCATTACAAACGCATTAATGACTTCAAGAGTTACCACCCTTACCCAAGATCTACCTCTTTATTATGAAATAGGAATGGCAATGAACCTTTATCAACCCAACAATTTTTTTTTACTGGAAAATATGATTAAAATGCTATTTTTACATGTTCATTCATTCCGTGGTATTGTAAGATGAAAATATAAAGAAACAAAATATCTTAAAAATAATCAGAATTAAACAAGTGGATACAGCAATCAATCATTGTTAACAAGAAACCAGTCATTTAAAAAGTCAGCTTTTTAAGCCGATTTTCAATTTTAAAAAAGGTAACAAAGACTTGAAGTTCTAATTATATATTCACGTGACATCTATAAAACTAAATTTGTAAGACCATAGTCGATCGTTTTTTTTTTTTTCTTCTTCAATAATTTAATGTAGTTCTATGTTATTCTAATGTCATTTTTTAGCCACCATTTATAATGAAGCTAAAGAGCGTATGCCTAAAATAAATGTTTAACTGCAAGCAATACTAACAAAACATCTCCTGATAAATAAAAGACAAACGGTTGAGAATGAGGTCCTTATGAGGATAATATTTAAAAAAAAAACAAACAAACAACGAGTAATAAATAATAACTAATTTGTAATTGGCTGATTTTAGTTATGGTAAATCTGAAAGACGGATCTTGCACGCCATGTGAAAAGTTAAAAAACATTATCTACACTGGAAATAATTTTATGAATGAAACAAATTGTGAAAAGGGAAATAACTTCCCAGTGAAAAGGGAAACAACTTCCCATATTATTACCCAACACTGATTTGTTACAAGTCTAAACATTAAAACGATTCTTATCGGATAATAAAAGTATAACAACAACCATAACTTAAGTATGCTTCTAAAATTCACGTTTAAAGCCAACAATTAATACATACATTTTATACTTTTTTCCTGCCTCCTGGTAAAATATTTTCCATAGACTATACAGGAAAATATACTGGACTTTATCGGAGTTTAACCAAAAATTTCTGGACTTTTATATTTTTCTTAATCTAAAATGTTTATAAAATGTGTTATGCTATATATATATAACTTTAGGGTAGGTATGGAGACAGGAAACAGAACTATTATATACATTTTTGACTAAATTTGTTTAAAAGGGTTGCTTTTAAAAGTACATCGATAATGGAATGAATTAATTCAATGAAATTGACACAAATAAATAGATAAACAAATAATGAAATAAATAAATAAATACCCATTCAGTGATTTTTGCTGTTTAAATCGACCATTCACATTGCACTCAAAATTAAGACACATATTGCAATAGATATACGTGGAATACAATTTTACTTATGAACTTAGATATGGAACATTTGGATTTTGTAAATAATTCTTAATTTGAAAGCATTATGTGGGAAATGGTATATACAATTTTATAATTCTTCATGTATGATTAATCTTTTCGAGTGTAGAACTTTCACTGTAATTTACATATTTGCTTTATATAATTGGTTGCGTAAGCGACGTATTTTGTGATTCTCCATATGTTAACCATGCATTGACCAAACTTGTGTTTACCATTTTTTTGGCGAGCAAAATTTAGTCTATTTCAATTTATATTATTTAAGACTCTGATTAAAGGACCTTTAAGTTATCTAATTCAAAATTATGAAAATGAAATCTTAGATTCCAGTAGGTTCCGCGTGGAAAATTTTGACCTTGAACAATAATCTAAATAGAATTTATCGTTTGCAAGAAAAAAATTTAACACATGATTGTATAAGGTTGGGGTAAAATTGTTCAAGTATTAGAAAGGATAACCTGCTTTATATTATAATCGTTTGCTTCGATAAACCATTCATATCAAGTAAGTCACAAAATGTATCCAGGTAAAACAACGTTCCATATTTAAGTCCAAATTTAAAGCTTGACTGAGGAATACTGTTTCTAAAATCTCAATCTCAAAAAAACAAATTTCATAAAACAAATATAAAATGAGATCAGTCTCACTTAAATCATTTATACATTTCACATGTTACAAATACTCCAAAATGCAACACACTGACGTAAATTCAAATTATCCTAGTGCACACATCTCCTGACAACAAGTATTGTTTTGTCCAACCACTCCCTTCCCCATTAGAAGTATCATCCCCTTCGTTTATTATTATAATTTTCATTTCATTGTGTTTTTATTTTAAAGTAATCATCGCAAAAAATATCCCCTAAAAGTATCTAAAATATGAGTGTTTTATCCGGATTTTCTCTTCTTTATTTGTTCTTGTTTTTTATTACTTTTATTTTTAACCTTTGTTTTATCGTCTGATTCATTATTACCAATTACAGATTTAACTAAGTCAACTAAATCTATTTCTTCATCATGATCATCTTCATCTTTTTCATTCTTTTTCTTCCTTGAAGGATTTGGATTTTTCTTAACTTGATCTTCGTCGTCTTCGTCATCGTCATTTGAAATAATTAAATTTTTAATTGAAGTCAAAATTCTAGAAAATAAACTTTTTTGTTCAGTATCATCATCATTATCGTCGTCGTCATCGTCATCATCTTTTAATTTACCTTCTGATGTTTTTGATTTTTTCAATATCGTTTTCTCCTTTTTCTGTTTAACGTCATCGATTCCGTCACCATCCCTGTCTTTATCTCTGTGATCTGGAATTCCGTCGCCATCGGTATCTGGAAGTTTATCTGGAATTCCATCGCCATCAGCGTCATTGTCAAGATAATCGGGAATCCCATCGCCGTCACTATCCTCTTTCTTATCTGGAATACCATCACCGTCATCATCGTCATCTAAATAGTCGGGAATTCCGTCATTATCATCATCGTCATCAAGATAATCGGGAATCCCATCACCATCAGTATCAACTTCCATAAAATCTGGGATTCCGTTGCCATTCGCATCCGAGTCTTCATCGTCTGGTATTCCATCATTATCATCGTCATCATCAAGGTAATCTGGAATTCCATCGCCATCGCTGTCAACTTCCTGGTAATCGGGGATTCCATTATCGTTATCGTCGTCATCGAGGTGATCTAAAACTCCATTTCCATCAGAGTCTTTCTCTAAATGATCTGGAATTCCGTCTCCGTCATCGTCTTTGTCAAGATGATCGGGAATGCCGTCATTGTCATCATCATCGTCTAAATAATCGGGGATGCCATCACCGTCTGTATCAATTTGTTTGAAATCAGGAATTCCATCTCCATCAGAATCTTCATCCTCGGAATCTGGAATTCCATCGCCATCATCGTCGTTGTCCAGATGATCAGGAATACCGTCACCATCTGTGTCCGTTTCTTTATCGTCAGGAATACCGTCGCCATCGTCGTCTTTGTCTAAATAATCTGGAATTCCATCGCCATCTGAATCTTTTTCTTTGACGTCCGGAATACCATCACCGTCATCATCATCATCCTGATCGTCTGGAATACCATCATTATCATCGTCGTCATCTAGATAATCAGGAATTCCATCGCCATCAGTATCCTTTTCCTTGTCATCCGGGATGCCATCGCCATCGTCGTCATCATCTAAATGATCAGGTATACCTACAATCATTTCCAATATGAATATAAACTTGACAGATCATATAATAGATCTCAGTATACATGTACTTATGTCACATGCTGAGGTCTATTTATTGTTCGAAATATTTGTACAAAAGCAGTAATGTTAAATATATTATTCAAATCCTTACATTAAGAATTTGATTATCGTGAATCCATTTATAATACTAAACTTCCTTCAATAACTTTAGGTGGGAGAATTAACATCAACAAAAAGAAATACCATAATGATATAACATAAGACAGTCATCAATGTGTCCTGACTTGAGACAGGCACATGAATATGTGGCAGGGTTAAACGAGTTTACTAATTCTTTCAAAGCAGAAGAAATCAATCGGATATGGTTAGTCTAGTGGTATTTAGAAAATGTATTAAGTATATTTAACCAAAGTGTATAGTGCCACCTAACAAAAATAAAAAAAAGTATATATTAGCAAAAAAGTTTAAAGGGTTTATATTGTAATACGCATTGGCATTCTACTATACCGTCATTGTCATCATCGTCATCTAAATAATCAGGAATCCCATCACCATCGGTATCCTTTTCTTTATCGTCTGGTATTCCATCGCCGTCATCGTCATTGTCTTGATTGTCAGGAATTCCATCGCCATCATCGTCGTCATCCAAGTAATCGGGAATACCATCGCCATCTGTATCCTTTTCCTTATCATCGGGGATACCATCGCCATCATCATCATTGTCCTGGTCGTCAGGGATACCATCGTTATCATCATCGTCATCTAAATAATCGGGAATACCATCTCCATCAGTATCTTTTTCTTTGTCATCGGGTATTCCGTCACCATCGTCATCGTTGTCAAGATGATCTGGTATACCTTTTATTAGAATATTTGTTATAAAATATAGCCCTTGCCAGAAAATAAATTATGAATTATAAAAAAAAACTCGGACTAATTCATCGTCCTATGTGGTACTGGTTCTCTGCTATTAAAGAAATGGTGAAAATAAGATATTCACTGTTATTTTTCAAGTCTGGCCTTACAGTCATAACAAATCTAAATACGATTATCGTACTAAAACTAAGAAATCGACCAATCAAAAATACTGGATTTGATGTTTCTAGCTCAAATTTTGTACTCCAAGTACTGAGTAAAGTTTTGTGACTGAAGGGCCTGGTGTTTTACTTACAACATATTCCTGAATTAACTTGATCACAAGCAAATAAGTGCGCACAACATATGTGAAGAAATCAACAATTTCATATCTTCTTTTTATTTTTGCAGTAACCAGATACTTCTACATTTTGTAGTCTTATAGTGGAACACATGTAATCAAGGACATGTAATCTTCCAATTCTAGATTTTTAAATTTTTTTCTTGAAAGGATTATCATAAATATGGATGGAAATAATCTTCAGATAATGAAATCCAATTTTCTAGATGTCGTTAATTATTTTCAGAATAGTTCTATGATAAATATGGATGGAATAATTCTTAGCAATTTAAATCCAAATTCTTGATTTTGGAAATGATTTTCTGAAAGGACTTATGATAAATATGGATTACAAAAATCTCTAGCATTGCTATTCATCTAATCAACAACGTCATACAGGTTCATAGTTATCTTAGCATAGTTCAGATAATGATAGAGTTAATAAAGATTAATCGCACGAAAAGAGGCTTTCCATAAACCGTTTTTATTTCCCCGTGTTTAGTGAGATTGTAAAGTAAGGTTATTTGGTTTCATTAAACATACCGGTATTGTCAACATTCCGTTTTTACTGGAAAATGTTTCGTAGCTATTAGTCTGTAGAAATGTTTTACATAAAGAAGATACCCATGATAATGAAAAATTGCATGTCAAAGATCGACATTTTACTCTTTGATAATTTTCTATAAATATGACGTAAGCAGGTTAGGGGACAACCATCTAATATTCTGGGGGAGGAGGACTTTTGCTGATTGATCATATATGACGCGCGAAAATTTATTCTAATTTTTGTATACATTTGTGTCCTGTATTTTGTGTTGCAGAATATTCATATTCATCCTGTCTTGTGCCAAGATATTTATTTTCAGTTGTTATAAGGCCAAGTAATTATTTTTCAAAATCCTCCTCCCCTAGAAAATCAAATGGTCGTCCCCTTATTTTGCGCGAATATAATTTTTTCTTTATTCCGGAGACAGTTAGATACAAATTGTTTTCCCTGAAGTAAGTATACTGTACCTTTATTTTGATACGAGAATTTATGGTAGTCACAACTCATGCACTGCTTGTTTCGTGATAATATCTCAAAAAAGCTACCATGAAAATGACCCAATACAACATGATATCCTTAGCCACGTTATTGATAAAACCGTCTTTACATATGTATCTATCATAAAATATTTCCCGAAACGCTTGCCGATTTGTAAACCACATTACTTACCATCATTATCATCGTCGTCATCTAAATGATCTGGAATTCCGTCACCATCCGTGTCTTTTTCTTTGTCATCTGGAATTCCATCGCCGTCATCGTCGTTATCTAAATGATCAGGTATCCCATCATTATCATCATCATCATCGTCTAAATAGTCAGGAATACCATCACCATCTGTATCCTTTTCTTTGTCATCAGGGATGCCATCGCCATCATCATCATTGTCCTGATCATCTGGGATACCATCATTGTCGTCGTCATCATCCAAATAATCTGGAATCCCGTCACCATCAGTATCCTTCTCTTTATCATCTGGAATTCCATCACCGTCATCATCGTTATCTAAATGATCTGGTATCCCATCATTATCATCATCATCGTCTAAATAGTCAGGAATACCATCACCATCAGTATCCTTTTCTTTGTCATCAGGGATGCCATCTCCGTCATCATCACCATCCTGGTCATCCGGAATTCCGTCGCCATCGTCGTCATCATCTAGATAATCGGGAATTCCGTCTCCATCAGTATCTTTTTCACGATCATCTGGAATTCCATCACCATCATCGTCGTTATCTTGATCGTCTGGAATTCCATCGCCATCATCATCGTCATCAAGGTAATCTGGTATACCGTCACCGTCTGTGTCTTTTTCTTTGTCGTCGGGAATTCCATCACCATTATCATCGTCATCTAAGCTATCTGGAATTCCATCACCATCAGAATCTTCCTGGTTGTCTGGAATTCCATCTCCATCATCGTCATCATCTAAATTGTCAGGAATACCATCGTTATCGTCATCGTCGTCTAAGTAATCAGGAATTCCATCGCCATCAGTATCTTTGGTTTTGTCAATACCGGGATTTTTCTCCTTAACGTCAGGAATACCATCATTATCATCATCATCGTCAAGATGATCTGGAATTCCATCATTATCGTCATCATCGTCTAGATGATCTGGAATTCCATCTCCGTCACTATCTTTCTCCTTATCATCCGGAATGCCATCATTATCGTCATCACTGTCAAGATAATCAGGAATCCCATCACCGTCGGTATCTTTTTCTTTATAATCTGGTATTCCGTCACCATCATCGTCATCGTCTTGATCATCTGGAATGCCATCATTATCATCATCATCATCTAAATAATCAGGTATACCATCCCCATCTGTGTCTTTTTCTTTATCGTCTGGTATTCCGTCGCCGTCATCGTCGTTGTCTTGATCGTCTGGAATGCCATCATTGTCGTCGTCATCATCCAAATAATCTGGAATCCCGTCTCCATCAGTATCCTTTTCCTTGTCATCAGGAATGCCATCTCCGTCATCATCCTTGTCTTGACTATCTGGTATTCCATCATTATCGTCATCATCATCCAAATAATCAGGAATTCCATCTCCGTCCGTGTCTTTTTCTTTGTCATCGGGAATTCCATCACCGTCAGCATCATTATCCTGGTCATCTGGAATACCATCGTTATCGTCATCTTTGTCAAGATAATCTGGAATTCCGTCGCCATCTGTATCGATCTCCAAATTATCAGGAATTCCGTTCCCATCAGCATCATCATCATCTACATCCGGAATCCCATCATTGTCGTCATCATCATCCAAATAATCTGGAATTCCATCACCATCAGTATCTTTCTCCTTTTCATCTGGTATACCATCGCCATCGGCATCATCATCTAAGTGATCGGGAATTCCATCATTATCATCATCGTCATCAAGATAATCGGGAATTCCATCTCCATCAGTATCAACTTCTAAATGATCAGGTATTCCATTTCCATTTGCATCGTCATCTTTATCATCGGGAATTCCATCATTGTCATCATCATCATCAAGATAGTCTGGTATACCATCGCCATCTGTATCTTTTTCTTTGTCATCAGGGATTCCGTCGCCATCTGCATCGTTGTCTAGATAGTCTGGAATGCCATCACCATCCTTGTCTGGAAGAGTACCACATCCATATTTTGTGCAGTGTTGTTTACTATCGGGAATACCATCGCCATTTGAGTCATCATCCTTGACGTCTGGAATACCATCGTTATCATCATCTTCGTCCAGGTAGTCGGGAATTCCGTCGCCATCAGTATCAACTTCAAGGTAATCGGGTATGCCATTCCCGTTATCATCGTCATCCTTATCATCTGGAATACCATCATTGTCATCGTCATCGTCCAGATAATCCGGAATACCATCGCCATCAGTGTCAACTTCCAAACGATCTGGTATACCATTGCCATTCGCATCGTCGTCTTTGTCGTCTGGTATACCGTCATTATCGTCATCATCATCTAAATAGTCAGGAATGCCATCTCCATCAGTATCAATTTCAAGATGATCTGGAATTCCATTTCCATCGGCATCTTTATCAAGTTTATCAGGAATTCCATCGCCGTCGTCATCTTCATCCAAATAATCCGGAATTCCATCACCATCGGTATCTACTTCCAGTCGGTCAGGAACACCATTACCATCGGCATCCTCGTCCTTATCATCTGGAATACCATCGTTATCATCGTCATCGTCAAGATAATCTGGTATTCCGTCACCATCGGTGTCCTTTTGTTTATAATCGGGAATACCATCGCCGTTGGCATCCTCCTCTTGACTATCTGGAATACCGTCTCCGTCAATATCATCATCAAGATAATCGGGAATTCCATCACCATCAGTATCCTTTTCGAGTCGATCAGGAATACCGTTGTTGTTATCATCGTCATCTTGATCGTCTGGAATGCCGTCGTTATCGTCGTCGTTGTCCAAATAGTCAGGAATACCGTCGCCATCAGTGTCCAGTTTTTTATCTATCCCAACAGGTGCAGCTTTCTCTTTTTTCTTATCTTTTTCACTGTCTCCCGAAAACCATGATAGTAACTTTCTCCTATTTCCACAATTGGTACACGTATACTGGAATGGACAATAGATATTTGAAATGTTTAACTGTTTACATGTATCATCCCTACTGCTAGCTTAAAAATTAATGTTTTCCTTTTACTATTCATTTATTGAGTGGACATTATATTGGCCCGAGAACACAGTTATTTCGTAGTGCATTTCTTTTAGACAATAAATTCAAATTAAAAAAATCGCACCTGCTCTATCTCAAAAAGATTTTTACAGTGTAGTGTACTATTATTGATACAAATAATATCAAAACTATAGAAACTTCTACCAGCTCTAACTCAAAATATTGACAATTCTGTGTTAAGGGGGGCTAAAATTCAGTTTGACAGCTTCAGACATTCTAATTTTTGACCTTTTTTAACTGGACCAAATCACTACTTAACATAAAGATTCAGCACCCAAATTTTTTTAACATGTAATTTCATCCCCTTACTTAATATTTCATGCATAAAATATCAAGAAATGAATTGGGAAAGTGTATCGAAAAAAAATGCAAGTTATACACTGTTCACACTAGGGACTATATTCGGATAACTGTGTCCTTGGACCTATTGTATTATGAATAGGATATACACAATGTATGGGTGCATTGAACACACGCAAGATTGTTTTAGTCATAAATATTCCAGCACTATTCTGAAGTTATATGTCATCATCGTTTATATGTTATAAATACCTCTTAGGTTTGAAACAATGTTGTGCAATAGGAGAGACCTTGAACAACACAAAACTAAGGTCTTTCGATCAAATTGATAAAAACACATCCCAAAGTGTTGTGTGATTATATTAGATGAATATATACGGAGTCTTTATAGTCAAAATGCTAACTACTATAGGATGGAATAACTAACTACCTACTATTCTATTTGCTGTGACCGGCAAATTAAGTCACAATTAAAGGTGTCTGTATTTCAAGAATTTTTTCAGTGATCAGGGGCGCGTTCAATATCATAGCTGTTACGTAGGGCTACATAGCTTTTAACTACTGAACGACTCGAAAAAAAAATGGTATTGGCCATCTTTAGAAGTAATATCACCGACTAAGTTAGATATCGTAAGGTTATACTAATTGATTAATTGTTACTTTAAGGACCTCTCCCATGCTGAAGTATGTGTTGTGGGGTTCCTAATTTTCAATCTAAACTTGCCTCTGTACCAAAACCAAACTCTTATCTCACAATAAACCGTGACAAACCTAAAACGCATTGCATCTAATCAGTCACGGATGACTAATGACGCTAGACGTTGGAAGTAATTGCTGTACACATTGTCATTCCGAGACTGCCAATCTCACGTCACCGTGCAATTCGTGTATTAAGAGAGACCTGCCTTTTTAAAAACTCTCCATGCAAAGAAATTGATCATGCAAAAACCAAACTTCATAATGCCATTGTATCCTGCAGTGGTAAAGGAGCTACGATGTCTGAAAATAAACAGTACTATAATCTGGAACTATCCTAACGTTAGATATAAAAGTCCCAGCTGTAATATATATGAATCATGTTTTTTCAAACCAAAAAGGCTGCTTTTGATCTTACTTTTGAAACGTTTAAGGTGGCTGGGGTGTCTTCCTCCATCTTGGATTTTGAAGTAGCAGATAACAATTGGTCTAGATCTTTTATGAAATGTGCAAATTTTGAAAGTAGTATGTAATTCATGCGTTAGACTTTTCATGTTAATATAGAAAATTATGTGTGTTATCATATTTACAGCTGAATTTTCTAAAAAAACACAATATTTTTGTTTGATTCATTTTTTTTCAACTTTGCCACATAAGGGGAGATAACTCAGATTAAGTAGTTTTTATAATAGAAAGTGATGTGAATTTACCTATTTTAATATGTAGCAAGAAAACAAGTCCTGTGACCCCATTTTTCCTTTATCTTATCTGAAAGCATATTATAAGAGCTATCTTCTCACATTTTATCTTAAAATTCTATGGTGTAGTTTTCTTTTTATCACACAAAATTGGATTTTCCATGCATAATCTATACAAAATCTGACAATTTTGCACAACCTGTAGCGTGAAAAAAAGTCCTGTGACCCATTCTTTTTATTATATTTTGGAAAAAAGCATGATAAAAACTACATTTTGAAAAATCATTTAAAAATTCTATGGATTTTAATTAAGACTCCCCATACACCTTAAATTGTTTTGTTTTAAGCCTGAGACTACTATAACACAGTGTTATAGTAGTCTCAGTTTAAGCGTACCTGAACAATGTTCTTCTAAAAACACGTATGTGCAACTAAGACTACTATAGCACTGTATGTCTTATAGTCAGGGTGCAATCAATACCATTCGGTTATTTATCTACCAATGTGTCGGTACCATTGCTGTTAGATTATTATTCCAAGATTACCCATAATGACTAGTACTTTTGTACTGGCATAATTTCAAAGAAATTTATAAAGTTGATAGAAAAATTATACTTAAATCAAAGCTAAAGATCTCTTAGGCAAAGCTGGTCCCTTTTGGTACTAATGCTCCCAAAGGTTTACATTTATGGATTTGGCTTCTGAAAGCTTTGAGTGTTTCTGACAATACTTGTTCCAGAAATGACAGTCTTATGCATTGCTATCGGTATTACATTTAGATGAGTAAGTAAAGAGTTAATTTTTTGAAAAATCTGAAGTTGACGGACAAAAATGGAAATTGGGGGAAAATAATTGTTATCATTGGTCTACTCAGTACAGGTGTAAAGCCAGCCAGTTTACGCAGGGTTAACTTCCCTGTCTAACGTAATATTTTTTCCATTCACATATATCCAATCCTGTATCCATTCCTTGCATTGGTATATTTTGAATTCTTATCAATCGGACTAATTAGTTTTAGTTGCTTTAGACACATATGCAATTGCAATCTATTTCATAACTCTCATATTTTCTTGGTACTTCTCAAATTTTCGACGAAATCAAGAATGTTTCTGGTAGCTATTTAATTTACAAGTGGGATAATTCAATAGAGTTTCCTGCACACCATTAGGTCTTGTATACATTCTGGACAAACATATAGAGACTTATGGCGTGTTTGAAAATTTCAAAACTTGCAATCCCCCACCCCAGATGGACATCCATTAACAATGTAGCATTATAATTTCCCAGGAAATAAAAAAAATATTACTTGATTAATTTTGTGCGTCTAAAGCGCCCTTCTCGGTATTCTGTCATGAGGAACGCCCAAACCCATAAATTCGAAAGCCAATGATGTGTATGTATCTGTGAAGCGCTATAATATGACCAAAAGGGTAAAAAAAGTACAGCCAAATCCATCTAAGGTAGACTTTGCCTTAGGGAGTTGGAACCGTAATTTCTTAATAATTTCTAAATTTTTCAACAAAAAAAAAACACCCCAAAAACTATCTACGGTACAAAATTCTGAAAAGTACTAACAGGCTCCTTATCATAGCGCCCACCCGATGAAAAATCGCAAGTTTGCCAATAAAAACTTTTATTTACACATACTATAGTCACTCTTTGTGTTGCTTGTCATTTTTGAAATTTACATAGTTAACCTAGCTCATATAGTTTTTAAGATAACAGCCAAAACTGCAAAAAAAAAAAAAGAACAGTTAAAAAAGACATTTCATGGACAATAACTCCAAGAAGGGTTGTAAATTTTTCAGAGCAGATAGATCTTGTCATACTTGTCATACTGGTCGTTTTTGCAGTTTACACACTTTTATCATAGCTCCTGTAACAGCAAAAAAAAATATGCAAAAATGTATATTTCAGGGGAAATAACTCCAAAACAAGACGACAGGTTTTTAAAAAATTTTCAGGGTTAAAAGACCTTGTAGTGTTGATAATTTTTTTGCTATTTAGTTTAACCTAGCTCCTTTATTTTTCCCGATAACAGCCAAAAAACTACAAAAAATGGATATTTCAGGGCAATAAGTCCATAACAAATGGACAGATTTTTCTCCAATTTTCAGGGTATATACAACGTGTAGTGCTGATTCAATTTATAATTTCAACCTAGCTTCTAAAGTTTTCGTGTTAACATCAAATAACTGCTAAAAATTGAAAAAATTGAAACAGGTGGGCAGTCTAAATTTTCAGGGTAGAGAGAAGTTAATGTAGTGACCATTTTGACTGCCAGTTTTTCTCTCTTTGCTATTGTTTTAGGAATAGTAGCCAAAACTGTAGTTTTGACTCCTATTTTCTATTCTTAGACATTGAGGCCCCGTTGTTTAATCAACTTAGACGAAAATTACAACCTTTAAAGTTGACATCCTATAGCCTATGAAGCAGAAAAACTTCGGTTTAAATCCATTGAGCAGTATAAGAGAAGATTTTTAAAGAAAAGTTCATGGACGATGGACGTCAGATGAAGGACGGAATGTGATGACAAAACTCACCCCAAATTTATTAGCTATATTCATTTTTATTTTTTGGTCTTTTGAGTCTGATTTCATTACCCCTGGTGACAAGATTTTTATGCAATAAGCCTCTAATAAAGAACTCGCAAGGTGCAGATTTCCCTGATGTATGTTCTTGTAGTATATTCACGGAGTGTCTTCAAACATCCTTTCTGGTGAACTTTGAATAAAATGACCAGATACTCATTAAAAACTCAGTGTGAAAATCATCAAATCAGAATAAAATAAGTTTGATCTACTTTCCAAAGGTGCAATTCATTAATCTTCCGGGGGCCATGATTCCTAAATGCATGTATTAGACACACAACATGGTACTATCCAGTGACATTCTGTAATCTTTTTCCCTACTGTCCAATGTACAATGCTGATAATGAATTCAATAAGAAATGGTCCACTTGTTGATTGATAAAAATTCCAATAGAAAATTGCATTTTTTAATGATGTTTGGTGTAGATTTTTGTTAATTTTCCGTATGTTGCTGGCAGATAGAATCATTTAAATGTTAAATGTTACATGTAGCATCATGATTCAACATTGTTTGAACTTTTGTCATCATACATTCAGGTAGGTTGGAACAAACTCAACATTTTAAATTGTGTGAATTTCCATTTATCATTCAAG